TTGTTATATTATTAATATAATAATAATAATAATAATAATGACGTTTCTGTTGTAGATGATGATGACTAGGTTCTGAGTGTTCTCTCTGTCATTCCTTTTCTCCTCTCCAGTCATTCTTCAAGGGTTCCACCCCTTGAAAGAGGTCCTTCCTTCCTTCCTATATGCTTTTACCGTTTTAATCTGGATTGTTTTAATACTTCTATATTTTAAGTTGCACTGCAATGCTTTTAGTGGTGAGCTGTTTGGAGTCTCCATAGGGAGGGTGAAGAGAGAGGAGGACACCAGGAAGACAGTTCCACCTTGTCTCCTGTGCTAGGCTTATAATATAATATATTGCATATACATATAATATTTATAATATTATAATGTAATACAATATAATACCAATAATAATAATAATAATAATAATAATAATAATAATAATAATACGATATTATAATTATATATTTTATATTACATGTAATATTACTAATAATATTACAGTATTACGGTAGAGTAAAATATAGTAATATTATTAATAATGTTACAGCATTACAGTATAGTACAATATAGTAATATATAATACTGGAGCCCCCCGGTGGTGCAGTGGGTTAAACCACTGAGCTGCTGAACTTGATCAAAAGGTTGCAGGTTCGAATTCAGGGAGCTGCATGAGCTCCCACTGTTAGCCCCAGCTTCTGCCAACCTAGTAGTTCAAAAACATGCAAATGTGAGTAGATCAATAGGTACTGCTTCTGCAGCAAGGTAATGGCGCTCCATGCAGTCATGCTAGCCACATGACCTCGGAGGTGTCTACAGACAATGCTGGCTCTTTGGCTTAGAAATGGAGATGAGCACCACACCCCAGAGTTGGACACAACTGGACTTAATGTCAGAGGAAAACCTTTACCTTATACTAAAAACATAATATATGGTGTGTGCGTTTGTATACACACATACTTACACAGTGTTCCCTCGCTACTTTGCAGTTCGCTTATTGTAAACTCGCTGTTTCGCGGATTAAAAAAAATTAATTTAAAATATATATCATGGTATTTTTGCTGTTTTGTGCGGTTCTGTTGCCGCCGCTATCCAAGGAGCTTTCCCTTCTCAGTCCTCCCTCCCTCCAGCCTTGAAGGGCCTTTCCTTCACTTTATTTTAAGTATGTAACGACTTAAAATAGTGTATAACTCTATTTTAAAATAGTGTATAACTCTATAAAGCATCCTCAGAGGTAGTGAGTGTATAACTACTAAAATAATGTATAAATATTAAAATAAATAGAGCACCCCTCTGTCATTCCTTTGGAGAGTAGCCATATTATCATGCACATTTGCTCCCCCTCAACGGTTTCTGTCCCCAGAGTATATTCCTTTGAGTTTCTCCCCCACAAACAATCTGCTCCATCCCTATCTCATCCTGATTTTAGTATTTTTAATATCTTAGTTTTTATCTTGCACATGCAGCCCACTCATTGTTATGTTATTTTATTGTGTATGATTTCGCTTTATTGTTTTTTGTACTCATATGTTGTTTGTATTTTACTGTGTTGTTATTGTGTTTTGGTTTTACTTTATTGTAATATGCTGTTGGGCTTGGCCTCATGTAAGCCGCCCCGAGTTCCCATTGGGGAGATGATGGCGGGGTATTAAATAAAGTATTATTATTATTATTATTATTATTATTATTATCCCTACATTGTGGTTTTTCACTTATTACGGGAGGTCCTGGAACCTAAACCCAACAATAAGTGAGGGAACACTGTGTATGTGTGTCTGTGTGTATATATGTATATGTATGTACACATATATATATCTCATAAGACACTCTGAGTCCCGTTCGGGGTGAGAAGGGCAGCATATAAATGTCATAAAAACAAATAAATATCATCCTCAAGGAGATAGAGTGGGATACAAATAAAGTATTATTGTGTTGTTAAATAAATAAATAAAACAATATACCATAAAGTATTATTATCTATATAAATAAAAATGTAATGTTCGTTTGTGGGATTAGCAGAACTCAAAAACCACTGGACAAATTGACACCAAATTTGGACACAAGACACCTAACAACCCAATGTATGTCCTTCACTAAAAAAATTGATTTTGTCATTTGGGAGTTGTAGTTGCTGGGATTTATAGTTCACCTACAATCAAAGAGCATTCTGAACCCCACCGACAATAGAATTGGACCAAACTTGGCACACAGTTCTCCCACGACCAACAGAAAATACTGGAAGGGTTTGGTGGGCAGTGTCCTTTGGTTTTGGAGTTGTAGTTCACCTACATCCAGAGATCACTGTGGACTCAAACAATGATGGATCTGGACCAAACTCTACACCAGTGGTTCTCAACCTGGGGGTCGGGACCCCCAGAGGGGTCGTGAGGGGGTATCAGAGGGGTCACCAAAGACCATGAGAAAACATAGTATTTTCTGTTAGTCATGGGGGTTCTGTGTGGGAGGTTTGTTCCAATTCTATCGTTGGTGATGTTCAGAATGCTCTTTGGTTTAAGTGAATTATAAATCAAGCCGCTCTGAGTCCCCTTCGGGGTGAGAAGGGCGGCATATAAATGCCGTAAATAAATAAATAAATAAATAAATCCCAGCAACTACAACTCCCAAATGTCAAGATTTTAGTTTCCCCAAACTCCACCAGTGTTCACATTTGGGCATATTAAGTATTCGTGTAGAGCAGTGTTTCTCAACCTTCCTAATGCCACGACCCCTTAATACAGTTCCTCATGTTGTGGTGACCCCCAACCATAATATTATTTTTGTTGCTACTTCGTAACTGTAATGTTGCTACTGTTATGAATCATAATGCAAATATCTGATCTGCAGGATGTATTTTCATTCTCTGGACCAAATTTGGCACACATACCTGATACGCCCACATTAGAATACTGGTGGGTTTAGGGGGTATTGATTGATTTTGTAATTTGAGAGTTGTAGTTGCTACAATTTGAGATTGTAGTTCACCTACAATCAAAGAGCATTCTGAACTCCACCAATGATTGAATTGAACTTGACACACAGAACTCCCATGACCAACAGAAAATACTGGAAAGATTTGGTGGGTATAGACCTTGAGTTTGGGAGTTATAGTTTACCTACATCCAGAGAACACAAACAATGATGGATCTGGACCAAATTTGGCACTGATGCTCAATATGCCCATATGTGAACACTGGTGGAGTTTGGGAAAAGTAGACCTTGACATTTGGGAGTTGTAGTTGCAGGGATTTATTTATTTATTTATTTATGGCATTTATATGCCGCCCTTCTCACCCCGAAGGGGACTCAGAGCGGCTTACAAGGTATATATACGTACAATATATTATTAACATAGTACAACATCAGTTTTAAACATTGCTATATTGCACTATATCAATTATACTGTAATATTATTAGTAATATTACATGTAATATAAATATATAATTATAATATCATATTATTATTAGTAGTATTATATTGCATTACATTACAATATTATAAATATTATATGTATATGCAATATATTATATATTATATTATAACATATTATATATATTATAACATATATATTTATAGTTCACCTACAATCACAGAGCATTCTGAACCCCGCCAATGATAGAATTGGGCCAAACCTCCCACACAGAACTCCCATGTGGGCCACAGCAATGCCTGGCAGGGGACGGCTAGTATATAATAAAAGTATTATTTTATAATAATAATTAGGTTATGGTTATGTAAGGAGATAGAGTGGGGGACATTAAATAAAGATTATTATTATTATTTCTACATTGTGGTTTTTCACTTATTACAAGGAGTCCTGGAACCTAACCCCAACAATAAGTAAGGGAACACTGTATAGAATCATAGAATCAAAAGAGTTGGAAGAGACCTCATGGGCCATCCAGTCCAACCCCCTGCCAAGAAGCAAGAATATTGCATTCAAATCACCCCTGAGAGATGGCCATCCAGCCTCTGTTTAAAAGCTTCCAAAGACGGAGCCTCCACCACACTCCGGGACAGAGAGTTCCACTGCTGAACGGCTCTCACAGTCAGGAAGTTCTTCCTCATGTTCAGATGGAATCTGTATGTATGTATATGTATGTATGTGTGTATGTGTATGTATGTGTGTGTGTGTGTGTGTATGCGTGTATGTATATATGTGTGTGTGTGTATATATATATATGTGTGTGTGTGTTATTGTTATTTATTTATTTGACCACACAATAATACTTTATTTGTATCCCACTCTTATCTCCTTGAGGGTGATATTTATTTATATATTTTTATTTATTTACGACGTTTATATGCATATATATGCATGCCACTCCGAGTTCCCTTCAGGGTGAGAAGGGTGGCATATAAACGACGTAAATAAATAAATAAAAATATATAAATAAATATCACCCTCAAGAAGATAAGTGTGGGATACAAATAAAGTATTATTGTGTGGTCAAATAAATAAATAACAATAACACAGTATACCATAAAGTATTATTATATATAATAATAATTAGGTTAGGATTATGTAGTTGTGGATTATGGCAGGCCTGGGCCAACTTGGGCCCTTCAGGTGTTTTGGACTACAACTCCCACCATCCCTAACAGTCGTAGGCTGTTAGGGATGGTGGGAGTTGTAGTCCAAAACACCTGAAGGGCCCAAGCCTGCTGTAGATGATACCCATGATTCTCAATACCCTCCTGTGGCCTTTGTGGGTGCCAATAATGGTGGGAAAGCAGCCTCTTCCGCAGGGGCCTTGATGTGGGGCCATTTCAGGGGAGGCAGGCTTCAAATGAGAGAGAAAGAGAAGGCGGCCAAAAACGACGGCGAGCGCAGAGGCCCAAAAGGGTAATAAGGGCAGTAAGGCGGGCAGGCAGGCAAAAGCATAGGCGCGTGCTGAGCTTCAGAAACTCCCCCCTCCCCCCCCCTCCCGCTCTCCCTCCTACTGTTAGCGGCGCCTCGTGCTCCCCGCTAGGCCCCGTTTTCCCAAATCTGTAAATAAGGCTCCACAAAGTTGCTTCTCACCGGGCCCGGCGGCTCCCGCGACGGGGGAAGAGCCCCCCGCGGAATACATGGCGGAGGAGAGACTCGGATGCTTCTGCTTCTCCTTCTTCTCCTTGAGGGACGGTGGGAACCCGCCGCCGCCTCCTCCTGGGCCGCCTCCTCCTCCTCGTCGTCGTTCTGCTTCTCTCCCCGACCGAGGAGGGAAGGAGTCCCCGGGCCAGGCGGCCTCAGGCCCAGAGAGACGGAGGAGGCGGAGGGAAGAGGCGGAGGGAAGCGGGAGGAGGAGCCACGCAAGGAGGGAGGGAGGCCGCTCTCGCCTCAGGCCTTCCACCAGGCCTCGCCCTCAGAGATGCGGCCTTCTCTTCCCTCAAACAACCCTCCTCAAAGTTTCCCGCCTCCTTTCATAGAGTCAAAGAGTTGGAAGAGACCTCATGGGCCATCCAGTCCAACCCCATTCTGCCAAGAAGCAGGAATATTGCATTCAAATCACCCCTGACAGATGGCCATCCAGCCTCTGTTTAAAAGCTTCCAAAGAAGGAGCCTCCACCACACTCCGGAGCAGAGAGTTCCACTGCTGAACGGCTCTCACAGTCAGGAAGTTCTTCCTCATGTTCAGATGGAATCTCCTCTCTTGTAGTTTGAAGCCATTGTTCCGCGTCCTAGTCTCCAAGGAAGCAGAAAAACAAGCTTGCTCCCTCCTCCCTGTGGCTTCCTCTCACATATTTATACATGGCTATCATATCTCCTCTCAGCCTTCTCTTCAGGCTAAACATGCCCAGCTCCTTAAGCCGCTCCTCATAAGGCTTGTTTTCCAGACCCTTGATCATTTTAGTCGCCCTCCTCTGGACACATTCCAGCTTGTCAATATCTCTCTTCAATTGTGGTGCCCAGAATTGGACACAATATTCCAGGTGTGGTCTAACCAAGCAGAATAGAGGGGTAGCATTACTTCCCTAGATCTAGACACTATGCTCCTATTGATGCAGGCCAAAATCCCATTGGCTTTTTTTGCAGCCACATCACATTGTTGGCTCATGTTTAACTTGTCCACGAGGACTCCAAGATCATTTTCACACGTACTGCTCTCGAGCCAGGCATCCCCCAGTTTGTATCTTTGCATTTCGTTTTTCCTGCCAAAGTGGAGTATCTTGCATTTGTCACTGTTGAACTTCATTTTGTTAGTTTTGGCCCATCATCTCTCTAATCTGTCAAGATCGTTTTGAATCCTGCTCCTGTCCTCTGGAGTATTGGCTCTCCCTCCCAATTTGGTGTCATCTGCAAACTTGATGATCCTGCCTTCTAACCTTTCATCTAAGTCATTAATAAAGATGTTGAACAGGACCGGGCCCAGGATGGAACCCTGCGGCACTCCATGAACTTGGATGTGTGTAAGGACAACGCCAGCTTTTCGGCTTTGAAATGGAGATGAGCACCAACCCCCAGAGTCAGATACAAGTGGACTTAATGTCAGGGGAAAACCTTTATTTATTATTTATTTACGACATTTATATGTTGCCCTTCTCACTCCGAAGGGGACTCAGAGTGGCTTACTATATATATATATATCATCATAGAAAATGCTATGAAAATTATGGGATAGCTATGTACATGCACAAAGAAACATTCAGAAAAATCCTGGAGAGTCTATAACCCAGTCTATAACCCTGGCGGCTCATCACAACTAGAATCATAGAGTTGGAAGAGACCTCATAGGCCATCCAGTCCAACCCCCTGCCAAGAAGCAGGAAAACTGCATTCAAAGCACCCCTGACAGATGGCCATCCAGCCTCTGTTTGGCCATCTGTCAGGGGTGCTTTGAATACAATGTTCCAGCTTCTTGGCAGGGGGTTGACTGGATGGCCCATGAGATCTCTTGTATGTGTGTGTGTATATACACACATATACATACAATATATTATATTATTAGCGTAGTACAATATTTATTTATTTACTATATTTGTATACCGCTCTTCTCAGCCCTCAGGGCGACTCAGAGCGTTTCACAACAGCAAATACAATACTTAAAACATGATAAAAATAGTTGAGAACAATTTAAAAGAATAACATTATAACAATCAATAAGCATCAAACATCTCATATCGTCTCATAGTTAAAATCAAGATCCAGTCTCATCATCCAATTGTTCCATATTTCTATATTAGTTATACTGCCTAGTCAAACAGACCTCACAAACTTTGAGGATGCCTGCCATGGGTGCAGGCGAAATGTCAGGAGAGCCTGCTTCTGGAACATGGCCATAAAACCTGTAAAACTTATTAGGTTAAGGTAAAGGTTTCCCCCTGAAATTACGTCCAGTTGTGTCTGACTCTGGGGGTTAGTGCACATCTCCATTTCAAAGCCAAAGCGTTGTCCGTAGACACCTCCAAGGTCATGTGGCTGGCATGACTGCATGGAGCGCCGTTATCATCCTGCTAGGTCAGTACCCATGGATCTCACATTTGCATGTTTTCCAACTGCTAGGTTGGCAGAAGCTGGGGATAACAGCGGGAGCTCATGCCGCTCCCCGGATTTGAAGCTGCGACCTTTCGGTCAGCAAGTTCAGCACTTTAACACTATCGCAACCCATTATTATTGTTGTGTTGTGGAAGGTTTTCATGGCTGGAATCACAGGTTTGCTGTGAGTTTTCCAGGCTGTATTGCCATGTTCCAGAAGCATTCTCTCCTGACATTTCACCCACATCTATGGCAGGCATCCTCAGAGGTTGTGAGGTCTTTTGGAAACTGGGCAAGTGGGGCAATAGGATTTCACCCAGGCAGCCAGGTATTGAAGCTGCAAGGCTATTCAATACTAATCAAAGTAGCCAATTAAAACACTCACACTTGTCTCAAACAGACAAGAGTTCTTTCTTCCATCCTGGACATCAATCCACAGATGCATAAACCTCACTTTATGATCATGACCATCTAACACTGTGGTGGGCATAACGTCGAATTGCTGTTTAGTAAAGGCAATTCTTAAGGAGGATGGCTTACGTTTCATCAGATATCTGGCTCTAATATGTTGTCGTTATTGAAGCTGGGAGGGGCAGAATGAGTATTTGATGCTGTCGTAAAACCAGATCAACATGTAAACTGGGTCCGAAGAACAGAGATCTATCAGGTTCAGGCCTGAAAGGATGTCTGATGTAGAGCCTCCACTCAAAAGGAACCATACGTGAGAAAGCAATATGGTGTGAAACACTTTAATCCCCTTTGACAGCTATTCAAAGTCCCCCAATTGGCCAGGAACTGGCGATTGATTTCAGAGATGTGTGGAGTCTTCTTCACGGCAGGAAAAAAAACAGTTGTCATTTGAGATTATTGACTTCCAGTTGATCCTGATATTTAAAATTTGCGCTTTTCCTGCCTTTGCTTTTACAATACCAAAGTTCACAAACTATTTTTAAATTTAAAAAGGGAGCAGGAATGGTTATTATTATTGTCATCATCATTTGCCTCAGGAATTCACATCACAAAGGGAAAAAGCAATATTTTATTGTTATTATTTAAGTGTATTTATTGGTTTTTAGTTTTGCATGTGTATGTATGGATTTTTTGCATGTGTATGTATGGATAGTATATATGTGTGTATGTGTACTAATATGCTAATAACATACTGTATAGACATATATTAATATTGCAATACAATATAATACAATGCAATATTATATAATACTATATATATAATACTAATATTGTGCTATGCTAATATACTGTATAGACTTATATTAATAGTAAGACAATATTATACTATATAATAATATATATAACACTAATATTGAATTTCATAGACATATATAATAAATAATGTCGTAACGTATACAATATTCACACAATATAATTAATTATACAATATAATACAAATATATTAATTATAATACTAATACATAAGAATATTAATTATAATTTATTAATATACCACTAATTAATATATTAGTTATAATACCACTGATAATATACAATAATATATAATAATAATACTGTTTCATCGAAGGCTTTCATGGCCGGAATCACTGGGTTGTTGTAGGTTTTTTCGGGCTACATGGCCATGGTCTAGAGGCATTCTCTCCTGACGTTTCGCCTGCATCTATGGCAAGCATCCTCCGAGGTAGTAAGGTCTGTTGGAACTAGGAAAAAGGGTTTATATATCTGTGGAATGACCAGGGTGAGAGAAAGGACTCTTGTCTGCTGGAGCTAGGTGTGAATGTTTCAACTGACCACCTTGATTAGCATATAATGGCCTGACAGTGCCTATAGCAAACTTTTGTTGAGAGGTGATTTGAGGTCCTTGTTTGTTTCCTCTCTGTTGTTGTGCTGTTGTAATTTTAGAGTTTTTTAATACTGGTAGCCAGATTTTGTTCATTTTCATGGTTTCTCCTTTCTGTTGAAATTGTCCACATGCTTGTGGATTTCCATGGCTTCTCTGTGTAGTCTGACATGGTGGTTGTGAGAGTGGTCCAGCATTTCTGTGTTCTCAAATAATATGCTGTGTCCAGGTTGGTTCATCAGGTGCTCTGCTATGGCTGACTTCTCTGGTTGGAGCAGTCTGCAGTGCCTTTCATGTTCTTTGATTCGTGTTTGGGCAATGCTGCTGCGTTTGGTGGTCCCTATGTAGACTTGTCCACAGCTGTAGACTCCTTCAGAAGCGAGAGCATCCCTCTTGTCCTTTGCTGAATGTAGCATTTGTTGGATTTTCTTAGTGGGTCTGTAGATAGTTTGTAGGTTGTGTTTCTTCATCAGCTTCCCTCTGCAGTCAGTGGTTCCCTTGATGTATGGCAAGAACACTTTTCCTCTGGGTGGATCTTTGTCTTGACTCTTGTGGCTTGTTCTTTGGCTTGCAGCACTTCTGATGTCTGTAGTGGAGTCTCCATTGGCTTGTAGAGCCCAGTTTAGGTAGTTCAGTTCTGAAGAAGAGAAGGCTGAGAGGAGATATGATAGCCATGTATAAATATGTGAGAGGAAGCCACAGGGAGGAGGGAGCAAGCTTGTTTTCTGCTTCCTTGCAGACTTAGGACAATGGCTTCAAACTACAAGAGAGGAGATTCCATCTGAACATAAGGAAGAACTTCCTGACTGTGAGAGCCGTTCAGCAGTGGAACTCTCTGCCCCGGAGTGTGGTGGAGGCTCCTTCTTTGGAAGCTTTTAAACAGAGGCTGGATGGCCATCTGTCAGGGCTTTCATGGCCGGAATCACTGGGTTGTTGTAGGTTTTTTGGGCTATATGGCCATGGTCTAGAGGCATTCTCTCCTGACGTTTCGCCTGCATCTATGGCAAGCATCCTCAGAGGTAGTGAGGTCTATTGGAACTAGGAAAAAGGGTTTATATATCTGTGGAATGACCAGGGTGGGACAAAGGACTCTTGTCTGCTGGCTAGGTGTGAATTTTTCAGCTGATCACCTTGATTAGCATTCAATGGCTTGGAAGTGCCTGGGGGGAATCTTTTGTTGAGAGTGATTTTATGTGCCTGTTTGTTTCCCCTCTGTTGTTTTGCTGTTGTATTTTTTATTTTAGAGTTTTTTTAATACTGGTAGCCAGATTTTGTTCATTTTCATGGTTTCCTCCTTTCTGTTGAAATTGTCCACATTCTTGTGGATTTCAATGACTTCTCTGTGTAGTCTGACATGATGGTTGTTACAGAGGCTGGATGGCCATCTGTCAGGGGTGCTTTGAATGCAATATTCCTGCTTCTTGGCTGAATGGGGTTGGACTGGACGGCCCACGAGGTCTCCTCCAACTCTATGACTCTAAGGCGCGTTAAGGCCTGAATTTCCTGGTGGCCATCTTTAAAATTTCTATCTCTATAAGCGCCAACAAGTCCTTCGCTGATTGGTCGCTCTTGCTTCCACACCACGCGGTTTCGTCTCACCGGGGAGCATGCCTCGCTCCGATTGGCTTTGCGAACTCTCGCGCAAACCCGACCGACCAACCCATGAGACCCATCCTCGCTCTGCGACGCGATTGGCCCTCGAGAAACAGAGGGTTCGCTCATTGGCCAGCGCGCTGTCCCGAGGCGGCTGCTGATTGGACGAGACGGGCTTGATAAGCGGCGCGGCGGGCGCGAGGCCTTCCTTTCCTTGTTCTGCCTCAGGCCGGAGCGCACAAGGTGCTGCGTCCTTCCGACGAAGCTAAGGCCGAGTTTCCAGCCGGCGACCAGCACCGCGCCCTCTTCTTCCCCTTTCCGGACCCGCCATGGCCTCCGTCTCCGAGCTCGCCTGCATCTACTCCGCTCTCATCCTCCACGACGACGAGGTCGCCATCACGGTCAGTGCCTGAAGGAGCGAAGGAGGCCGGGGAGGAGCGAGGGCGCATGCGCGGAGGCAATGCTGGGAAGCAAACTTGGGAAGAGCGAGGGCGCATGCGCGGAGCTAATACTTGGCTACAGGCATGGGCAAATTTGGGCCCTCCCTCCGGGGGTTTTGGACTCCAACTCTCACAATTCCTAACAATGTCATATTCTTTGGTTTTAGGAGGACAAGATCAATGCTCTTATCAAAGCAGCAGGAGTCAATGTGGAACCTTTCTGGCCAGGCCTGTTCGCAAAGGTAAATTCAATCCCAACATTTATCACTGTGTTTTCCTTGGAAGGCCAGTGTCAGCATTGGGATCTTTTGTAAGTGCCTTGTAATGGGATACCAATATCAAGGGATTCAATGAATAGCTTCTATCTCATGAGAGCAGATATCAGGTAGCTGCTGAGCATTTCAAATGCTTGCAGGTTAATATTTATTAACTTGCATCCCACTTTTTTTTGCCGTGTCAGGAGCGACTGCAAGTCGCTTCTGGTGTGAGAGACTTGGCCATCTGCAAGGACGTTGCCCAGGGGACGCCCGGATGATTTGATGTTTTTATCATCCTTGTGGGAGGCTTCTCTCATGTTCCCGTATGAGGAGCTGGAGCTGATAGAGGGAGCTCATCCACCTCTCCCCAGATTTGAACCTGCGACCTGTCGGTCTTCAGTCCTGCCAGCTCAGGGGTTTAACCCACTGCGCCACCGGGGGCTCCCACTATCTCTACATAAGGAGACTCAAAAGTGACTCACAATAAAAACATTACAACTTAAAATTATATTCTGTGTATGTATTGCACTGACTGTAGCGCAGCTGGCTGGGAGTCAGCTGCATTAAGATCACTACTGACCAAAAGGTCATGAGTTCAAAGCCAGCCAGGTCGGAGTGCACTTCCGACCATTGTGTAGCTTGCTGTCAACTTTTGCAGCCCGAAAGACAGTTGCATCTGTCAAGTAGGAAATTTAATTATAAAATAGTTAAAACACATGAATACAATAAAACTGATTAAAACATAGCTTTCTAATCACCCTTCCCCCATAGGCCAAACATAAGCCTGCTAGTAAAAGTGGCCTTGTGCGTTATTACCATGAGGCGAGGAGATTATTTATTTGTCGTGTCAGAGCAACCAGTCCATTATATTACATTTCTAACAGAACAAAGCAAACAAACAGAAAAATACACAACTTGTGAGTTTGGTAGCTGGTTAAATGTCCTTTGACCAGTATCTGGCCACTTGGAGTGCTTCCGGTGAGGAAGATATAAAGTGCTAGTCTAGAAGGCTAAAGGATCAGGGTACAGGTGCCACAGTTTTAAATCACAAGATAATGTATATGTTGTTTTCAAGTTATAATACTATTATATTAAGGTAAGGTAAGGTTGTCCCCTGACATTAAGCCCAGTCATGTCTGACTCTGGGGTGTGGTGCTCATCTCCATTTCTAAGCCAAAGAGCTGGCATTGTCCATAGACACGTCCAAGGTCATGTGGCCGGCATGACTGCATGGAGCGCCATTATATATAATACTATTATATGTATATATATTATTTTATTAACATAGCACAATATTAGTATTCTTTTGTATTACATTAGATACTATTAATATTAAATGTTTATATATATATTATCAGCCTAGCACAATATTAGTATTATATATTGTATTATACTATATAATAATTTATAGGTCGTTTTCAAGTAAACCTAGGGGTTTACCACTTAACACAGGTGTTTTTCTAAAGCATGCAAACCAAGTATTCATGGCAAGGGCTGAATTTCAGGTCTGTTCTTCCTATAGTCCACTATGAGCTCCTTGGTCTTATTGATGTTAAGAACCATTTCCTACAGTGATTCCTTGTGTGGAGCCAGAACCATATTTGTGCCAAAAATTTATTTTATTTACAGTATTTGTATACCGCTTTTCTCACCACGAGAGATTGCTGGTGGGTGAATGCAAGTCTTTGTCTGACAGGAGAACAAGCCTCTCAGCTAGTGGTTGTTATGGCCAGATTGAGGGGACTTCTACCTAGTTGCAGAATACTGTCATCACAAATACATAGACTTTGTGAATACACTTTAATTACAGACATATAACTCTAGGTTTTAAATCTGTAAGTCCAATTCAAAATTTCAGCCAATATCTTTTTGTAAATAGCAGGACTGTCTCCCCCCCCCCCCCCCTTACAACTTAAGCATTTTGAGATTATGTAATGGTGTGTAGGTTGGTATTGTGAAACAGTACTTAGTTTAGCCAGATCTGCTGAAACCTTGGTTTTTTTCCTGATGATCCTGTTTGGTGTCTCCAGGCCTTGGCCAACATCGACATTGGGAGTCTCATCTGCAACGTAGGAGTCGGCGGTGGGGCCCCGGCTGCTGCGGCCCCTGCGGGCGGAGGGGCCCCGGCTGGCGGTGCTGCTCCTGGTGAGTGAACTTCTTCATGGCTGGGTTGGCACAAGTTGTCCATAAGGGTCTCTGTTGTTCCTAAGGGCAGCTGTCCCTTACAAAACAGGTTAAAATGAAGCAGTTATCGTTGTTATCTCACCAATATTTATTGATCAGATAATGCAGTATTTTGACAATACAATATTATGTCTTACAGCCGAGGAAAAGAAAGAGGAAGAGAAAAAGGAAGAGTCGGAAGAATCTGATGACGACATGGGTTTTGGTCTCTTTGACTAAGCCAGCTTTTGTACTCTAACAAAATACAAAAGTGTAAATAAAATCTGACTTTTGAAACTTTCCTGTGCAAGACTCCTAAGAACCCATCATCTGTCTGTAATTGAGGGTTGTAGCATTTCTCACATCCAGGACCTCAGTTGTCATTTCTATTAGCCAGTCTCACATGAATTGCTGTGCTGAGAGGGAGTCTTATTTTTTTGTTATCAGTATTTCTTTCACCATGAATTCACTCAGGAAATGAACCTCCTGGGCATATCCATGTTAGTCTGGAATATCAGCTTAGAAAACGATCTTGGGGCACCTTTGAGACGTAACTGAGAGGATAGGTTTTTGTAGACTCGGTACGATTTGCTCATGTGATACCTCAGTCAAGAACAACCTTCATTATTCTGCATGGAGCATGCAGGGAAATCTCTAAACCAGAGGCTAAATTAAAATAATTAGTAACAGGAATACATAAAAACATTACAGAACACGTCAGTCATCCTGGCCATCCCATCTCTGGATAAAATAAAACTACAAAGGAGGATGGGAAAGAGAAATAGAATTGAAATACATCCACCAGCACTGGAGCACCTGGTAGGGCAGTGGGTTAAAGCTGCTGAACTTTCTGACAGAAAGGTTGCAGGTTTGAATCTGGGGAGCAGCATGAGTCCCAGCTTCTGTCAACCTAGCAGTTCGAAAACATTCAAATATGAGTAGATCAATAGGTACCGCTCCGGCACAAAGATAACAGTGCTCCATGAATTCATGCTAACCACATGGCCTTGGAGGTGTCTATGAACAACGCTGGCTCTTCGGCTTAGAAATGGAGATGAGCACCAACCCCCCGAGTCAGACACAACTGGACTTAATGTCAGAGGAAACCTTTACCCACCAGTACATCAACAGTATGTAATTGTTTCCTGGCAGGTTACACACGCAACACTAGTTGACACGCCAGATGCACAAAGGCTGTCGGCCAGTTTCTCGCAACTCCTTTTGGGTTCCCAGCTAGCACTCAATCAAAGTGGTTATTTACTCAGCTTTAGGCAACCTCTTTCCTATCACACTATGTAACACATTTTTGCTCCTTCCTGGTTAGATCATTTATTTATTGTGTCAGTGCAAGATCATAAAAACATGGAAAAGGTTTAAACTGCACAAACTTTGTTTTAGTGGGAGGGACATTCCTGCAGCACATTTTGCTATAGTTTTTCAGTGAGTATTTCACTGAATCTCAACCAATTCAATGTAAATTTGTGGCAATCACAAAAATGAAGTTTCTGGAGTATAAGAACTACTTTCAAAGTAAATACTGCACAATTAAATGGAAATAACACTTTCAAGCCAGGAAGATTTTTTCCCCAAATTTGGCTACATAGTGTCATCATCAAAACTGAACTTAGCTCATCAGCATGCCTACAAGTTTTGCATTTCTGTATTCACATATGCAGCCGCCTCATTCAGAGCTATAAAAAATATCTTGGGCATTTCACTTCCATGTGTTTAAGGAAGGAGGCTTCACTACAAAGACCTTTTGGCACCACTATGTAAAGTTTTGGGTTCCTGGGTGGAGTGATCCATCGAGTAAAACGAGTATAAAATTTGGCTCGCGCATTGGGTAAGGCTTGATGGTAGCAATAACATTGTCTTTTCGAAAGGGTGTTACTATGGCTATGGTAAAATTTGTAATAAGGTATTTTCTCCTTGGACTTAGGTTGTATATTCCCAGTTCTTTAGTAAGCATTTGAAACAGATCGTTCAGTGGTTCTCAACCTTGGGTCCCCAGATGTTTTTGGCCTTCAACTCCCAGAAATCCTAACAGCTGGTAAATTGGCTGGGATTTCTGGGAGTTGTAGGCCAAAAACATCTGGGGGCCCCAGGTTGAGAACCGCTGTGCTTGCGTATATTGCTTATACCCCCTGAAACAAATTATGAAAGTCTTTTCTATATGGAAGAACACAGAGAAAAATGGGAAATGTAAGACTGTGGGTTATTGTAAAATAATCATAGAAGCGAGTACAAAACTGGTTGAAGTATTTGCCAATTAGTGTCCTCCAGCAAAAAAGTGGTTAAACACATGTTTGACTATCTAATGCTGCCCTTAAATTGTGTGTTACGTAGTTTAATGCCTCTCCACCAGCTGCTTGTTCAGTGTCACTGGCCCCAAGGACCATCCAGTACGACCCCATTCTGCCAATTCAGGGATGCCCAAAGCGCTCCCATCCAGCATCTGCTAAAAACCTAAAAAGCAGACGTCATCACACTCCCAAGGCAACATATTTCCCTTCTGAACAGCTTTTATTGTAAGGACGTTCTTCCTATGTTTCGATGGAATCTTTTCCTACAATTTGAATACATTGCTTTATGTCCTAGTCTCCAGAGCAGCAGAAAACAAGCTTATTCCCACTCAAGGTGACATCCTTTCCGATGTTTAAACATGGCTCTCATGTCCCATTCTCTCCACCATCCTTTCTCCATGCTGAACAGCCATTCCTCATAGGGCTGGGCTTTCAGAACTTTTTATCATTTTGGTCTCCCTTCCCTGGACACATTCCATCTTGTCCATATCCCTGAATTGTGTTCCCCCAGAACTGGACACCACGTTATTCCAAAGCACAATAGAGTGGGACTATGAGTTTCCTCAATCTAGACCAGTGGTTCCCAACCTTTTTTTGACTAGGGACCACTATGACCAGGAACGTTAGTACCACAAGGGTTACAAATCAGTTTTTGGTCAACTTTAGATTCAATTTGAGGTGCTGATTCAGAAAAGTGCATTTGGATAGACCACATCAGCTCTAGTTTCTGATACAGAACATATGCCACTGTCAGTGACAGGGAAGGAGTGGCTGGTGGTGTGAAAGGAGCAGAAATAAAATAAAGAAGGAGGCTCCCAGACCAGTTTTTTAGTCCTCGCGGCCCACTGGTGGTCCACAACCCACAGGTTAAGAACCATTGGTCTAGACCAGGGATCCTCAAACTAAGGCATGGGGGCCTGATACGGCCCTCCAACATCATTTACCCGGCTCTCGCTCAGGGTCAACCTGAAACGACTTGAAAGCACACAACAACAACAACAATCTGATCTCAGTCAAAAGCAGGCCCACACTTCCCACTGAAATATGAATGTTTATATTTGTTAAAATTGTTCTTCATTTTAATTATTGTATTTTAAGTGTTTTTGCACTACAAATAAGATATATGCAGTGTGCATAGGAATTCATCCATTTTTTTCAAATTATAATCCGGCCCTCCAACAGTTTGAGGGACTGTGACCTGGCCCTCTGTTTAAAAAGTTTGAGGACCCCTGGTCTAGACATTGGACTCCTAGAATCACATTGGCTTTTTAAGCTGCCACATCACACTGAACATGTTCAGCTTGTGGTCTACTAAGACTCCCAGTTCGTTCTGAATGAAATGGTGTCCTATTTTCACTTAGAACATGATAAGAAATGCAACAAATACTTAAAAAGTGCTGTGTTTCAGGTATTTGGAAGCTTTTAAACAGGGGCTGGATGGCCATCTGTCAGGGGTGATTTGAATGCAATATTCCTGCTTTTTGGCAGGGGGTTGGACTGGATGGCCCATGAGGTCTCTTCCAACTCTTTGATTCTACGATTCTATGCTGTGCTAAACGGCCAGCTTTAGCACAGCAGCTTAATAACCAGATGCAGCTACAGTAAATCTTGCCGAATGAAAGGTTGACAGCTCGAAGCTGGGTCAGGGTGAGCTCCTGACTTTCAGCCCAGCTCCCCTGCCCATCTAGCAGATCTAAAACAGCCTTTGGGCTGATACGGACAGGGTAGAAATGACGTAAATAAATAAATTAATAGGAACCGCATTAAGCGGGGAGGTTTTTTAGGCTCAGCGTTTCGGAGGAAAGTTTACGAACAAAGAAAGCTCTTTGGCAAGGAGATGGAGTGACAGCACCCTCCTGTGGCCGGAACCGAGCACAGCCTCCAAAAGATGCAGAATGATGAGAAAAGGCCTAAATATACTTCTATCTGTTGTCTGTCTTATTGTATAATCGACATTGAATGTTTGCCGTAGATGTGTTCTGTGATAGTACCCTTCGGGTGAGAAGGGCGGAATAGAAGTATTGTAAATCAAAAAATCCTTTAAGGGGATTTGACAACTATGCAAAATGCTCAACTAACTTAAGCTGCTGTGGTGTGTATTGTAAACAAAGCCATTAACCAACGGAAGCTACACAACAGGAGACACTTGTGATTCTGTGGCACTTAATTTCCATGTAACATGGAAATTTGCTGGGCTGCAGAGTCAACATGCTACTTGGTCCAATTTCAGATTCTACGCCCAATTTTGAAGTTCTTTAAACAGCTGTTTGCAATACTTTCAGACCTAGGAAGAATTTACACATAGAGCATTTTTAACAACTAAAAAAACGGATTTCCTATGCAATTTTTTGATTAGATGCTTCAGGAGATAAGTTAACAATCCAGGCCGCTTTAAAATATTCATCATGGCTTTAATCTTTCTTTATAAATTATATAAAAATGGGGAACATGTATGGTTACAGAACTTTTTTTTCTCTTCTAAACGCACTCTTGGAGTTGCTCTGGTACAAAGCAGCTTCTCTGTTTTTCACTTTCAAGGAAAACCATTGCTACAAAAAACTGGCACGTAATTCTGTTGAAAAAAGACACGTTCTCCGGCGTGTTCTAGACTACTTTCCGCTCCAATGGTTCATCGCACGCATCCACATGGAAAGGGAGGGGCAGCAGGGAACAACAGATGAAGAGAGAAGGAGTTTTAAGTTCGTTTCTGAAATGAGACGCTTTGAAAATATAGCTTTTTTAATCTTCTTTCTCTGTAAATTGTGATTAGCATTTTGCGGCACTAAGTGTTCTAATAATAAAAAAAAGGATTCCAGTCTGGACAGTTTGCGTATTGCAAGCGAGAATTCTCAGCCGCAAGGTTTCCCAGAACTCTTCGCTTTGCAATTCTCTCAGTTCTGAAGCTTGAACAGTTCAATTGCCAAATATTTTATTTAGGAGTTTCAAACCTTGAAGAGGATGGCATTCTGCACTGGCGCCCCGATGTCAAGGACT